CAACTATGCACATATTGTATAAATGTATGTTTTCATATGTGGGCTATCCGTTCGAGAGATCAGAAATTGTCCCGGAGAGAGTGCCGACGAGAATAGAGAGCGGCTACAGTGGGATTAAAACGCATCGGCCATGAAATGTATGGCAAATTGTATGGCACCTATATAATATAGTCGTCCGATTTTCATGAAATTTGATACAAAATTTAAGACTAATATAAAATGGCTATACCTATATAATCTGTTGAAAACTGAAAAAGTTATAATTTTTAATTGAATCAATTTCTCGATCGTTTCTATGGGAGCTATATGATATAGTAGTCCGATTTTCATAAAATTTTACACAAAATTGAAGAGTATAATAAAATGGCTATATATTTTAAATTTGATCCAATTCTATTGAAAACTAAAAATGTTAAAAAATTTTTTTGGAAAAATTTTCCGACCATTCCTATGGCAGCTATATGATATAGTCGTCCGATCCGGCCCGTTCCGACATATATACGTGTGAGAGTATATAGACGGCTAACTAAAAAGTTTCATTCAGATAGCTTCAAAACTGAGAGACTAGTTTGCGTAGAAACGGACAGACGGACAGATAGACAGAAGGACATACGGACATGGCTAGATCGACTAGGCTGTTGATCCTGATCAAGAATATATATACGTTATATGGTCGGAGGTGCCTCCTTCACTGCGTTGCAAACTTCTGACCGAAATTAAAATACCCTGCAAGGGTATAAAAAAGGTACAAAACCAGTCAGCAAATGTAAACGCAAACTATCCCGCGGGCAAGTAAAGATGCTAATAAGCGGTCCACAGTGTACCGCATTGACAAAAATAGTTTATGTTACTCTATTATTATTCTAACTTCTTATTGAGTGACTCTTCATACTATGCGGTATGTGAAGTCCAGGATTTTAATAACTACACTATTTTAATTATTCTTTATTTTTGTCAATCGATCAAAAGTGGGCGATCAAGCGCTTAAAATCCTTAGTTTCTTTCAGCGCTCATAGTATTGGCACTTGGTATTTCTTACGATCAGATTAATCGTGTTGGAGATAGAGCATTGAAAAAGTGTTCTTTGGTCTTAGCATGTTCTTAAAAAAAAAGTTGACACTATATCTTTCTTAACAATTTTGATAAGCATATTTACGGTGATCAATTCGTCAGTAAAGACCAGAAAGAGTTTTAGGAGTAGAAGGAAACTGTCCCTTACTTACTAAGCCGATAAAATGGGTGGACCCTCCTCCACCCAGAAGGTAGAAGTCTCCAATTGTCCTGATTAAGGCTTGGTTTTTAAAGCGTATGGGGGGGGGCGATCCTTTTTTTACAACTATAAGTCGTTGTATTATGGTCTGCACGAGTTAAGGAGGCAACTGCAATATGAGACAAGTATAAGATGGTGTGCAGCTCGTGGCACTTGTCGCCGTTTCGTGGCCACTTCTCTGCCTCTGTGCCACCTTAAGCCGTTCTTTTCGCTCTCCATTTTCATGTTATGCTCCTTCTCCCCATTTCCCCAGTCGCCCCATCTCCTCTCACCGTGTGACAATAATCGCAGACCGCTCGACGTTTTCATATGAGTGCTTATCACATTATGGCGCTATTTATAGTTTCGCTTGCAATTTTTTCGCTCTTTCTGGCTCTTCTTTCCACTTGTTCTGCGGTTATATTTTAGCTGTATCCCTCGATTTTGTTGCCGTTGTTGCCGTGTAAGTCGACAACGTTGAAAGTATGTTCTCCATACACAGCACACATTAAATCAATGTTTGGATGGTACTCCATAGAGTCTTATTCTCCACAGAAAATAAAAAAATCGAAGAAGGTATGATTTTTGACTTACGTTTTAAAATATTTTTATTTTAGTAGTTCTGTCCAACAAAGGCAATAAATCCGACTTATCAAGGCACGTCTGTCAGGAATGGCGTTTTTAAATTCTTTTCGTAAATTAATTAAAAAAGTTAAATATAATCACAACTGCAATTTAGAATCTTTCATATAAATATAAGAAATATGAAATGTTATTAGTTTTTGTTAAATTACAAACTGCAAGGGTATTTAAACGTCGGCTTTTTAATTTGCTGCCTTTTTTTATGCACCGTCTATAGCTTTGAGTACATGATAGCTTTCCTACTTCTTTGTAAGTAAAATAATGGATGCTATGGAATCGTTACATTGTATCTAAATAACTTCACGCTCTACCGTGCAAGCGCTCCATAACGAAATTAGACAATCCCTAATTGGGTTAGTATGTAATGTAATTTATGAGAGCTTCCCGTAAAGTGGCCAGAACAAGAAAGCTAATCAGAAAGTTTTTCACCATCAGGGCTCCACCTCCCCAATCGCCGGTTACCGAAATAATCCCAATTAGCTGTCACACGGCCAAAGACAAATACGTACGAAATTTTTGTTTAAAAACAAGAAAACTTTATACGTAACCCCACCAGTAAATTACTCACAAATTAATATAAATTCCCTTGTGATACGAAGAGTGCAGCGAAAAAAGAGCGTTAAAATAGCTGCAGCGCCGCTTTAGCATACAAATATCAATTTAAAACAATCAAATGCAATGGAAAACATAAACACAACACACAAAATATAACATATTAGAGAACAAGCAAATACCCAACATAGAAAAGCGAATTGAAGATACACTTTCTAAAAGTTTTATTTTATTTTCGAACATTGGCTTGGTATATAACGGATGTCTATGGTATTATACATATGTATGTATGTTTCATGGTAATTGAAATGTGCGAAAATGTTGTAAAATAAAATAATATAAAAAGTTTGACCTTTTGCTAGTGTACATTTGTAATGTGCTACATCATATTTAGGTTTGATTTTATTGTCGTTATAATACTCAATAGACAGTTTTGTGGTTTTGGTAAAACAATTTTATAAAATATATCAATTATTATTATGACATGTAATTTTTTAACTGCTCAATATCATAGCTTCTAAAAAGTGCATTTAATTTCATTCCATCCAACCGAGAATATTTAATTAATTTCTTTTGTACCCGATAAATTGATAAATTCGAATATACCCTATCATATTGCGAATACCGGTATGAAAACGAAAAACTGTAAACAAACCAAATGTGCTTAAAGGGAACATGCATACGTACATCCATATGTACATACATACCTACATACATGTCGATTTTCAGACGGCGATGGCGCAATACTTACACACAATCTCAAATACACGTACGAAACGTTCTCTCTGTTTGTTCACCACTCGACGAAAAGAGCGGGAGAGACAGTGAGTCAGTCGGTCAGTGAGAATGACAGACGAAATCGGAGAGAGCTAGAAACGACAGACGAGACGTTCCGACACCTCGTCGTTTCGTCGCTTTTCGTTCCTTTCCAACGTTTCGGCTCTCCAGCATTTTAAAGAAAGAAAAAAATGAAGAGAGCCATAGAAAACAGCGAAAAAATCCAAGCTCTCCGAAAAACTTTGGCGAAAATCCGATTAGCAGTTCTGTAACATAACAGTGCTGACAGAATTTAAGAAACAGAAATTACAAAAGCAAAATAACAAGCAATTGTTAAAATTGATTAGAAAAATTAGATACATTTTTATTCATAGGAAAGGTTTTAATTTTTAATCAATGTTAAAAAATTCTTTATTTACAGTAATTATTCGTAATTTGTTCAAGTGGTTGCAAGTGGAGCGGTTAACAATAAGTAAAAAAAATTATTTTAAAATATGAAATGCTTGGACCACGAGACAAATTAAAATTTGTTGCTTGTTTAAAGGGTTAGACCATCCAAAATTAAAAAAAAAATCGAATATTTAACATAATTTTGATTACTTAACCGAATTTAAAATTTTTCTCACAGCATCTCTAGAAAACACTCTCTATGACATGGCATAGGATTTTTACGATCCGATTTTTTTTTAAGATATAAATTTTTAAAACAGAATTATAAAGTATAAAAAATATATATTTTGACAAAATGCTCCGTCATGCTGTAGCTATATTTACATAGTTAAAAAATTAGTTTTTGGGTTTCGGATAAAAATTGTGCTGCCCAGCATGAGACTCGCAATATTATTTGTGAATATATTTGTTTGTTTTTTTTTCAATAATTAATTTAACATATTTACTTTGATATTATATTATTATTTTTGAAATGTCCTCCAATTTTCAGGCGTGTGGTGTAAAGCTATGAACATAATGTATTTTGTGTATCGTCCCTTTATTATGTACTCCATTATGGTTAAATTTTAGGAGAAAATTGTTAATAGCATAGGTATGACTCGCAAATTTGTCATTAATAGCAGATAGTTAATTAATTATTATAATAATTAATAATTACTTAATATTTAATTATTGAATGTATATTTTTTTTCTAAGATAAAACAAGTGAGGAGCTGAGAAACAAGTTTCACAATTTGTTGCCGCGTTTGATATTTCAAAAAATCCAGATTTTGCGGGAAAAAAGCTGAAGTAGCAGGTTTAAATAACAGTTTCGGAATTCAGAGTGACCAAATATCAAACAAAAAATATCGAAACATTGATATTGGGGCAAACGAGAGAGCATTCTGTTAATGAATTTAACTTCCTACATAAGAATTCTACGTGTTTCTATAAATGGTGAAATAGTTTGTAGATGTGTAAGTAACAGCTAACAGAGTGACGCAAAACAAAAATTAAAAAAATACCAAATGGCATTTTGATAAATTATTGATACGGCCAACAACGACCCGGCAGCACCCAAGTGAGAGTTCTGTTAACTAACATCCACGACGAACCTGAGAGCGCATTTTACATTTTACATGAGGATTCGACCCCAAAATTGAGAATTCGAACCCATGTATCTGCAAACGTGTAAAATCGTCATTCAGACGTGTAAGGTGTAGAATGTTAAACAACAGCTTCGGAATTCAGAGTGACCGAAACTGAAATATAAAAAAATATCACCAAAAAGACCTCTTTAAAGTTATATTTTGATAATTTTTCATCGGCCCCACTGAAAAAACAAGTTTTTTTTCAGCGTAAAACAGTTTTGAAGCACCTCCACGGACAAAAAGAAAATTAAAAATAAAAAAGAGACGAATTAAAATCAAAAATCGAATAAAGAAAAAACGTGGCTGTCAGTTAAAAGTTTATAAACAAAAACAGTGAACATAAATAAAATAGTGAAGAAAGTCGAGAAAATAAGTAAAAACGCGAACGAGCAGCTGCTTGGTGGAAGTCACAAAGACCGACGGCAAAACAGCAATCGGATAAAATTAGTCGTGCGTAACATAGTGACTACAAATAAACAAAAGATTTTATAGAAGCTAATTAGAAACGTCGAAATAGTAAGTATTGCCAATAAAACGAGAAATGATTTCCCCTTCCCCCTTTCGTTGCGGTGAGAGTGTCAAAATTGCAGTATAGTGTGTTTGTATGTGCGAGTGTCTCTGTGTCTGTGAGTTTAAATAGCGCACAAAAACAACAATTAAAGATATTTAACGAATGCACCTCTTCTTCTGATTCGCAATGGCAACGACAACAACAACAACAATCTACTCTGGCGACATTTCAACGCAAAGAGCGCACAGTGGAAAGAGGGCGGTCAATAAGGGAACTAAGTGAAGTGACTCTTCCTGTTCTCACATTCTGTGAGCTGGCACCACTGTGCGAGAAATAAAACGTAGTGGAAATGAAACGAGCGGCGAATGAACGGGCAACACAAAAAATAAAACAACAAAAACAAGGCAGTGAGCAGCAGGCGAAAAGCAACAAAAATAAAAGGAAATCCTATAAATAACAGCAAGAAATATTTATCAATAGCGGACAGAGGTGCGGGAAAATAATTAAAGCAGTGAAATTAAACAGTTTGAATGGAGGATTTGGCATCTGAGATCTTTGCCACGATTATTTGATATCTTAAATGGTTTTTAATTAGTGATAAAGTGCAAAGGTACAACGTCATGCTTATGTTGAGACCGTTAATGAATATTTACGGGATTACAGCCAACCTGTGACAAACTAAAATTTCTATATCGCTCTGACCGCAATAAGTTCGCAATTTGCCCAGTATCTTCACTTAAAATAAAAAAAAAAAACCGCCCACTCTGTGACCCCTCCTCCCCCACAAGGGTCTTCGGCTTGTTTCAATTTCATTAAAATGTCTGGCGGCAATTAAATTTGCATAAATTAGACATGGCAAGCGCATTTGCCTGTGTGTGTGCAGAAAGAGAGAGAATAGAGTGGAATGCTGGGATGAAAAAGTGAATAAAAAATCACATTATGTTGAGTTTTGTGGAAAAGCTACGCATAAGCTGCTGTCAAACTATTATAAGACGCGTTTTCGTAAAAAGTTGCCAAAAGTTAAAATCCCGACTAACAAAATGTATGTCGCATGCGACCTGGACTAAAAATTAGTTAAAGAAATTATTTAATATTCAAAATTCAAACAAAATACATTATTAAGATAATCTATTGCATATTTTAGTAAAGTTAATTGCAATAAAATTATTTATCACGCTTCGCTGAAATCAGAACTTGAACAGCTTTTTTTTTTGCAAATGTGACTTATGTTTTTGTCGCGTCCGAATGCAGTACTTTTTAGAGAATATCGTAACGAAAAAAGCCCAAATTCGATCCTAGCAACAATAATAGTGCTAACCAAGAGCTATAAGTTTTAAATTTTGTAAAATTAAAATAAAAACTTGGCACATATTTTTCTTGTTGTTTATGTGCTTCCCCAAAAGCATTGATTTGTAGTTGCGTTAATTAATTTCTTAATTCCAATTTCTTCTCTAAAAACAAAACAGTTAAAAATCTTCTTACTGTGCAAAAACAGCTAGAAATAGACAAAAAATTAAAATTTAAGATGTTTTGCTTTATTTATAAGAACAATTCTCAATCCGGACCATAATGATTTTAATGAGCTAGAACCGATTTCTAATTAAGATCGGCATTACAGCGCCAGACGAAATATGGCAAAGTAAGTAAGGGCAGACCCCGAAAAAGCGGATACGCGGCATCAGTGGAGCAAGACGGAGAGTTGCACGGCTAAGGGAGTGGAAAGAGAGTGCTGTCGGAATGAAGCTGCTTAGCGGCGATGGCAATAACGAGTTTAAAGCTCCACTAGCTTTGAGCTCACTAAACACACAAGTATACGAACACATATAATCAGCGGACGGACAATTCAGGCACACATACGCGCTGTGTGGATGCTTTGGCGTAAAAGTTCTATATTGCTGTTATGCTTTTATTTCTATACGCGTTGGGAAGTCCGAAAATAATCGCATTATGATAAGGAAAACAGAGCGCAAGCGTCTTTCTATCTCTTTTGCGTAAAAATATGTGTGTCCGTTTGTGTGTGAAAAAAAGGTAACTGAAAAAACGAAAGCTAGGCGCTATCGAAAGTTTAGTACCCTTGAAATTAGATATTGCACTGATAGTCAAAAATAAATTGAATTTAATTGCGTAATTTAAACAAGGTAGGCGTACCACCTGGTTTAAATTAGCGATTTGTCAATCCTGCTGTTAATGCAAGTCCATAATGTGCGAAAGGATATCAGAGCTGTGAACAAAATGCCATACAATCACTTCTTTAATATCAATTTTGACAAGTTCCCAGTTAAGTGTTAAGTAACACTCTTTTTGACAGATAGTTTATCAGTATAAAAATAAGAAATAAGCATTGATAAATTGGCCCTAAGATAAAGGCTAACAACTTCTTAGATAAGGAAAACTTTTCGCATATAAAACCTAATAACTTTTTGCGAGGGTATAAAACAGGACAACAGAATTGGAAAGCCAGTCCAAAAAAACCAAAAGCCAAGTTGGGGAGCACACAATTTATATTTGCTTTTAATGCCTTTGCTCTTGAGCTGCCTTTTTTGCTGCCTGCAAACAAATAAAACTGGTTTTCAAGTCAATTAAACAACAAAAAATCTACAAAAAACAAAACGAAAAAAAGAAGCTCCTCTACAAAAAAGGAGCATGGAAAACAAGGGCAGAAGAGTGGTTGTAGAAGAACAACTTTTCCAACGATCAAAATAATAAAAATAAATTTTAATGCAGCAAATGAGAAATCACACATGCCATTTGTTGTGGCAATAGTTCTTGGCCTAACTTGGCATTCCAAGGAGTTTGAAATTCCAATTAGTGGCAAAGAAAAGGCAATATATAATATATTTTGAATTGAGACGAATAATCAATTGAATTTATTGCTTTTTGTGCAAAGCACATTCAACGCACTCGAGCACTTTATCATCTTAGCAAGAGTTTATCGCCGCAATATGCTATTGCATGTTAAATCATAACTGCCCACACAAATTCTTCAGAACCTGGCATCATTTTCTCTTTTCAGATGGCTTAAAATAAATCTTGCAAACTTTTTTTACTTCTTTCAAGCATTGTTGGCCAGTGTGTTCATTTTCTAAACCATAAATAAATTAAATAATTGGATAAATGTCTCAAATGAAAAAGCAAAAAGCCGAAATTTTACTCACCTTTTTTTACATATCGGATTTGAAATATTTTGCAGTCTGTAGTTGTTGTCTGTATGGGCTCATCTGGCCTCAACGGGCCCATTTCCCTTTTTCCCCGTCACCCAAATATCGATTTAAAAAGCTCATGTCTAGTTTAAGGCCTCAGAGTGTGCGTTTGGGTGCCAAAATATGCCAAAGCAGACGCGTACATGCATGCAAATTTTACCTCAAAACTTTTACTCTGTTTCGGAAATGCTCGGCAAATGAAAGGGATTGCATTCCGAGAATATGCCTGGAAATGAAAAATGCAAACAAAAATGATAGCGTGAAAATGAAATTAAAGAAATTAGGCAAAATTAATAAAGTTATAGAATAAGCTTTAACCTTCTTGACCCTTGCTCGCTTAGAAGAATTTACCTTTGTATAATAATAATATAATTAATTTATGTTCCTATTATTTGTTTTTAAGTTTCTTCACACACTCTGATTAAATTTTATAAGATATAGTTTTAATCTAACGAGCCTGCTTTCAAGAATGAATGAGTACTAACTTTTTACTTATTTAGAAGATGTAAAAATCTACATTCTTATGACTCGCCTTTTAATTTCATTAATTCTTTTGTACTTCTACCACATTCGACCATAAGCCCATGTTGGTTGCCGTGTCCTTGCCATATTTCGTTCCTATCATAGGCAACCTGTGCACCAAATAAGCTCAACCAATTTATTTTCCATAACAACTGTGTACTGGCTGCCGGATACAAAAAAGGAGGAAAACAAGATGGAAAATTGTGCAAAATGCTGTTGCCCTTCAACTAGCAGAAAAATAACGAACGTCGACGCCAACTCTCCCGAAATTGGCACAGTCAACGCGCTAGACGCTCCCTTGGTCTCGTGGTCCTTGCTCCTTTTCCCTTCTCTATCAACGTGCATTATAGTCATGTTGGGTAGCAGGCACATCCATTGTTTACAGCAGGCCTATTCGTTATATTGTATAACAGGCACAACACCAACAACAAGGACACCAGGCAGAACTCATCTCGGTACTTCAGGCAGCCCAATCTGGGCACGCTGAAGGCATTCAAATTTTTTTTGAGTATAGAAATGAAGATGAAAAATATCTCTTCTCCGCTCTTTCTAGCTCATGATACCCTTGCTGTGAAATGAAATGTTGGTATCGGGTGGTTTTATGATAGACCAAAGAAGCGAATGAAATCAGTTTAATTTCTAATATAGAAATAATATAGTATAATATTATTATTATAACAATTTCGCCAAATTTTTCTTGTGTTTGGCCAGTTTTTCGTGTTTGTTTTTTCGCTAGCAAAAAACGAAAACTAAAGAAATTCCTTTTTGACGGTGATCGCTTTTTCTCGATTAATACGCCTCATCTTCCCTCTTAAATGCTCTTGTGACTAAAGTACGAGAGCATACTTGAATCTCTCGTCGTCGTCCTGGATCTGCTCATGCTGCTCGTCAACTCTTCAAACTCGTTGTCTTTGCTCGTTACTCGGTAAATTCTATTTACACGTTTGTTGGGTCGCCGTTCAGTTAAAGTAGAAAGTCACCCCACATATAGTAGTTTAAAAATTAGAAAATATTAGAAGCTCTCTCTTAAAATATTTATTTGTTAACTTTTGAATGTAAATGATTAATTGCTTATCGTCAGAGTTACAAATCCCTAACCTTTAAATTTTAATATATTAATGATTATATATTTTACACAAAGGGTAACTAGTAGTCAACCAAGGTCCTTTAAGCGTTACAATGTTACCTGTTTGGTTTTGCCTGTGGCATATTGAAATTAATGTAAATTTTTTCATACACTTGCGACTTATTGGGTTTCGTTCAATTTTATTTTTCAAAAGGTGGGCTCTGCGCCGAGAAGAGATTTGAGGGTAAGAGGTTGTTATTGATTTCGAGGTGGCCGGAAAATCAGGGAAGTGTGGGTGGAGTGTTGAAAGGTATTGTGTGAATTTATGTGATAATGAAATACCATTTTGAGTTTCGCTTGTATCTTGTTTCCTTTCTTTAGTGGTATTCGGTTGATTATAAAATAAGGTGAGGAAATGAAACCCTTTAGATTTGCAGAATGTAAATGTGGTTGAAATAATGATATTCTTGAAGTGGAAATCAATTATAGAGTTGTGTGTAAATAAATTAATTAACTGGATATGAGAAAATCAATTTAATTGTGGTTGGTTTGCAATGTTCTGTAGTTTTAAGGGTAGTGTGTACGTGGAGGTGCTTATAAATCCTACTACAAAATTGTTTTGCAAAAGACATCAAAATTGTTTGTTTGTTTTTTGAATTTTCGCCATTTGTGATCAATGCGCCACCGGCAAATGAAACACAAAGTGTCCTGTGACCCAAGGACACAACACGAGTGCACTTGAAAAATCTTTACTTCATCGTAATAAAAAAAATTTTTTATCCCATTAGCTTCAAAAAAATATACAGATAATAGATAGATACCAAACTATACAATAAAACTGGGAACTGTTCTTAGTTTCTTTCTTTAATTTTTTCCATCTCTACTCGACTGTATCTCTAAATAAACTTACATATGTATCTACAGAAACCCCGTTTTAATATGCATTTCTTTTATGTAATTTCAGAAATATACTATCGAAATTATTGATATTTGGTAAGTCTAAGATTATTTTACACGATTTTAACATATTTTTACCCAACGAATTGGAGTGTGATAGCTCAATATTTTAAGCAAATTAAATATTATCCAGGTCGTATTATACAATTTTTTGTTAAGGATCGGTAGATACCTCGAGAAGTTCACAATTAAAAGCGATCTCTCAATAAAAGCTAAAAAATGTTTCATTATAATTCTTTCAAAAGGAGTTTATACACAATAGGGAAAAAACTATTGCCTACAAATTGTGGTTAACAAAGTTCATATTTATATTTTTTTATACTTCCAAATATCATAAATATGAATATTTTCAATTTATTTCTCCGAGTGTACGGGTGCGCGTTTATTAGCTTTTGTAACGGTCCCAGGACGCCTCCGGCATCCCTGACACGCAACGAGAGCAGCGACGATGCGCAGCGTCTTCAAGCGGAAGGCGGATGTCGTCGGCAAGTGTAGACATATTTTCTTAGCAACTTTTCCGACCCACCCTGTGGGTGGGGATTCCTTCCTTGACCCTCCTTGTCTCCGCCTTGCTATTTGAAACTTGTAGCAAACTTCTGTTGTATCGTCAAGTCAATGAGCGTTTTTATATACATACATACCTACATACATTATATGTAGGGGACGGAGGGGCGGTATGGAAGTTTGTTTACTGTGTTTGCGAGAAAATAAAGTTGCCCCGACTTTTGCTTTCCCGATTCTGGGCCAAAAGTGTATTAAGTCTGTGGTATATGAGTGGGCCAGGCAGGAGATGTCTTGGTCTTGATAGGCGTGTAGCACGAGTTTATGTGTACTATTATATATATGTACAAACATATATCTAGAGCTGCAGTTTTAGTCACTTTAAGCGGATTTCGCTGTTGCTAAAGTAGCTAAAAGTTATGTTAACGATTCTGTGTGTATAAATGAGTGTATACTTGGGAGGACCTCAAAGTTGGGGGAATGGGATTTCGGTTTGTGACTGCACACAAAGTTTGTCCGCCTTGTAAAAAAATTGGTGGCGTCCAAGAAACTTTATAATTAATTTTATTGTTGATTACCTGAAATGTGACATTTATTAAGGTGTAAATGGGAAGTCAGCTCGGGGGATGTGACGAACATTTTTAAATAATAATAAAGTTATCAAGTGTCAGCACAATGCTTTATGATTGTAAACTTCTTTAGACTTGGTGTGCGTGTGTCCTTGAGTTGACCAAAGTACTTGACAAAGAAACACAGGGCGCATTATCCGGTTTTATTACATATATGTATGCACACCTCCCCAACCTCACACACACTTGCTCTCTCATAAATTCCCAACTCCAAGAGGCAATAAATTCAAGAGAGCATTATTATCGACAATAAATGAGCAACGTGGCAAGGGAAGGATTTTCCATTTAAGGAGCTAACCTTTAAAAATCAAGCAGAAGTAGTAGAAAATCTACCCATACGAATTGCGTGACGGTAATGAAGCTCTCTACCCCGCCCTCAACCTTTCCTAGGCCCCCCACCCATCGACATTTTCCTCCCCTCCTGCCTTTGACATTTTCCCTGAGGTGTACAAAAGCGCGTGCACTTAATATGTTCGACTAGGTAAATTAGCAAAATTAATAGTGAATGTATTATAAGCTGCAGAGAGAGTGAGAAAGAGAGCAAGAAAAAGGTATAAAAGAAAGTCCTGCGGTTTGTAAACCACACTTCTATTAAAGCTTAAATGCATCCTTGAAAGTATTGGAACTTTTGCAAACTTCCGACTTATAGTATATAGATGGTAACAGTCGAGATTTTACCGACTATTAAATACCCGGTACCAAAACTTAAAACACCCAAAATAATTGCAACAAAAGCTAAAAAGCTAACTTAGAACTAGAACTTAGAATTAATTTTAATGGGATATCCTTTTCTGTCTGATCGATTTAAAGGACTAAGCAAGAAAATTCAATTAACTAGAAATCATTAAGTATTGTCACGTCTTGTCATATCTTAAAGTAGATGGATGTGTATTCGAAAATAGGAAAGTTAACAAAGTCTCTGAATTGACTAAATTGTCAAATTTAATAGCCATCTTATTTGGCATCTACATTTACGTTCATTGTTATTCTGATTTCAAAAGTTCAAGCACAGACGGCACTTACCAGATTAAACTTTCGAAGGAACCAGTTTCAAAAACCTTGTACTTTCCAATAATTCGCAAACATGGGCAACGTGATGGCTTCTTCATCGGGCGGACTGGACTTGTCGGACATGCCTCCAACACCCTCATCCCCCGGCGCGACCCTGCCGCCTCACCTAGTGAAGGCGATGGAAGCGGAGGCTGTGGAGACGGAGCTGGAGAATCCCGGCACGGTCGAGGAGCTGCACAGTCGCTGCCGCGACATCCAGGCCAACGCCTTCGATGGCGCCAAGATCATGCTGAACAAGGGCCTGAGCAACCATTTCCAGGTTACGCACACCATGACCATGAGCACGGGGGCGTCAAATGGCTATCGCTTTGGAGCCACATATGTGGGCACCAAGCAGTATTGTCCGAGTGAGGCGTTTCCGGTCCTTATTGGCGAGATTGATCCGATGGGAAACCTAAGTGCGAATTTGATACACCAGCTGACGGCGCGACTGCGCTGCCGACTCGCCTCACAGTTCCAGGACTCGAAGCTGGTGGCCACCCAGCTGACGAGCGACTATCGCGGCAAGGACTACACCTTCTCACTCACCATGGGCAACCCGGGCATCCTCACGGGGTCTGGAGTGATTGTGGGTCAGTACCTGCAGGCGATCACCAAGCGATTGGCACTGGGAACTGAGCTGGCCTACCAGTACGGTCCGAACGTTCCTGGCCGCGAAGTGGCAGTGCTGTCCGCGGTGGGGCGTTACGACTTTGGGGATTCCGTGGGATCCTGCACCGTGGGACCGGGAGGCATGCACCTGAGCTTCTACAAGAAGGCCAGCGACCAACTCCAGGTCGGAGTCGAGGTGGAGACGAATCTACGCATGCAAGAGTCCACGACCACACTGGCCTACCAGGTGGATCTGCCCAAGGCGGACCTCGTATTTCGTGGAAGCTTCGATTCCAACTGGCTCATCGCAGGCGTCCTGGAAAAGCGCCTGCAACCGCTTCCCTTCTCCCTGGCCATCTCCGGACGAATGAACTACGAGAAGAACACCTTTCGCCTGGGCTGCGGCCTGATGATAGGATGATTCGAAGTGGACCGTAGTAAAGAGCTGTAATGTGACGGAAAACAGGACCTCTGTAACAGAAATAGGAACATGTTCAATATGTTGTAAATGTTTGGTTTCGCAACTTTGGAAATTTTAATGTGCCGAGTCTATGCTGTTCATCTTTAATCAAAATTAATAATATATATATACACATTTTTTTGGCAAACTTAAATCCAAGCTTAGTTTTTGCTTAAAGCGTTTAAGAACAGTTGTAACAAGGCTACAAATATTTAAAGGTTGAATAGAAGTTTCATACTTGGTGAGAACTTTGAGAAAATGATTCTGATAATTCAATTCCTGTATCATTTTCGTTAAAAAAAAAGAATTTGGCTTTAATCTTCCATTGGCTTTAATTGCGGCATTTTGGTCACATGTCCCATGACCCGCATCTTTTCAGCATCGCCGCCATCACAGTCACAGTCAAAATGGTGGCATTGATATTCAGAACTTTAAATGGATTGTGCCCAGCGTTATCCTTTCACCTTTTTCCACACTACACGCTGTACAAAAAAAGTTAAGCGGATTTTCCGATTTGCGAAATCTTTGACAAACTATGAAAAAGCTTTGAATATTTTGGGATTCAAAATGCGAACTCTTACACAAAAAGCAAGCTCTTGATTACCTTTACTGACACTGCGTGAAAGTAATAATATAATTAAAGCCATTTGAATTCGATTCAAAGTAACTTAGTTTACTATGTATAAAATTAAGGATAGTCTCTACTTAAACTCTAACGCTTTTTATGTTAGGAAAACTTTGGTGAGGTTGAGTTAATGGACAGAGATAGTCTGCCAATTACGCACAAACCCATCTGACAGGACGCTATGTCCTTGGTTTGGCTTTGCGTGTCCATCGTACAGCCTTGAGCTGTCTGCTCTCCTTGCTTGTCTAAATTGTGTATCCTTGACATCATCAATCAAGACGTGTGCAGTTTGAGAAACATCTACGCAGTGGGGGGAGCATTCAACCTCAAAATACTACTTACTTGATTATTGTTTTTACACCCTTGTAATTTTGGAACAAAAGCTATAGACGATTAAATTAAATTCAGTTGAGGGTTCTCTATCCCCTTCCTGCTTCTATATGTTATGTTATTATGTGTGATTAAACGTATTTTTGGTTATTCGATTTCGTTATATACATAGTTTATCCCTGAAAAGGGATAGTATCTACTATAAATATAGTTATATTAATTCAAACCTCAAAAAGTGGGCATTTCTTTTACTTCCAAACAAGTATTTAAAAATATGCATTAATCACTTATTATATGATACAAAGTTCAAAGTCCAAGGTCTAAGGCATTCGTGAAAAAATAATTTATAAAAAACCGCTGTTGGATACGTGTATCCCTTTATTTTATAACCTTTATTTATGGGGTCAATTACTGACAAGTTTTGCGAAAAATAAACACATGTAGATAACTTAATTTTATGTTGCTTTTCTAACATTCTGTGAGCCGTTCAGGACTTTAAACGTGCCTGATACTCATCAAATAAATTATTTTCAGTACGTTTTCAACGTCTAGTAAAATGTTGAGTACCCTTTTTGATTAGGAAAACCAAGACCAAGAAAACAAAGAACGATAAATTCAAAATTTGAATACAACTCGAGCGCCCAGATATGACGACATTGATAAAGGCCCAGAACGAACACAAGAGGCTAAAAAGAAAATGGGGAAAACTGCAATTCTGGTTGCAGTTCTGAACATTTCGGTTGAATATAGAGGTAAAACCTGCTTCTCTTTCTCGGCCCGGTGGCGTCAATTGGGTGAACAATGAGTTCATAACAGATTTATGATAACTAAAGTTAATTGGCCAAATTGCTGTAGAGGTGCAAAGTGTCAAGAGAGCCTTGCTGGTGGCACTCATCTCCCCATACAAGTCTTGCTGTACAATGACAGAGACGGTGCTGTAAATCATTGACCCTAATCATGTGTCTCGGTGTCAGAAAGAGGCGGTACAGCTAGGAGCAGAAAGGCAAACAAAGGTCAATGAAATCGATCTACACTTTGAAAGCGATTTGCAACACTATTTACAAAAAGTAAGATAAAATATCCTGGTAGTGAAAGATATCGAAATATTTAAGAATATATACTAATTTTATAATCTTTTTGTGATTTTGTAGTATTAAAAAGAACTATAATTTCTAGTTTGTATTGAGTGGAGTGCCATTCACTAGTAATGCATCAACAATTCATCGACATACGCCTCTGTGTTGTGAGACTGAAAGTGCAGTTCTGTTTTTACTGATGAAGGATTGATGAGTTTTGACCCTTTTGGTCATCAGGTATTTATCAAATTCTTTTGAAGAGAGAAAATAAGAAAGTGGGAGAGTCGGTTTGTACATAATTTGAAGTCGAAGTCGGTTGATGAGCTTGTCCTATTGATGACTTGATTTATACTCTACTTTTCAAGTGCTTAATTTTGTCAAGTATCAATATTACTGCACTGTAGCAATAGTTTTGCTGAGTTTTTCCTGAGTTTTTCTTTCTGTACATCTCCGTTTGATTGAAGTGAAAGACGGAACACCGCGGATTCATGCACATTTCTCCATCTCATCCCCGCCAGAACGCTTTTGGGCTACCCAGCGTGACAGCGCGGTGCATGGAGCGCGCAGAGAACTCTCACCTTGCCTGCAGTTAGGATTCTCGTTAAGTGGAAAATCTCGATCTTTTGGCTCGCGCTGCCTGCCTTTGGAGCTTTGTTGCTCCATTTTCCATTTCCCTCATCCCCACTGGCTGGGCCTGGCTGCTGCCTGCCTGCATGGCAGTCTCCTTTGTGGACTCCGGTTAATAGAGCGTGAACAACAATTCGCTCGCTCATGCGGCTCTGATTTCAGCTTTGGTTCTGTGCGCCTGTCTGCCTGCTGCCTGCCGTCTCCATAGCCATGGCTCCATTCCGGTTTAACGCTAATATTTGGTACCCACCTCTGTATGTACCTGCATTTTAACGATTTCAATTTTGGAATTTCCATTTAACCCCAAACATTGATCCAATGCCATTTTCGCCCTTGCCGCAACTTCTCTGCAATTTGCATGTGCCGCACTATACATTTTAACGAATGTAGTTCTTGATTGTGCAACGACCGAGAAAAGGCGTCGTGGCACGGGGCAGAAGCGCTATCAGAGGAGGGGGAAAGTGGACTATGGGGGGGGGAGCATTTGCCGCCAACAATTGTACTTGCCGTTGTTGACACAATTGAGCGTGGTATTTATTATGTCTCTGCGTTTTTTTCACACCCACACCCACCCACTCTCCTCCTGTGCTTCCCCTTATTTTTTTGTTTTGTTTTGTTTTTTATGTTTATATTTGCTCTAAAAATTGCCATGTTTGCCGCTTTGTTGTTCTTTTGGGGCAGGTCGAAGAAGAAATAAACATTCGTAACATACTGTTGAACATATTTAAATTGTAGCATTTTTTCTACATTTTATTTTTGTGTGCGGCTTGCTGATAGGAATGCATTTGGAATAGAGATTTTATCGATGCCATTTGCCGCCAGCATTAGATATTTTATTCTTTGTGTATATATGCACATAATGTGCATAATGTGTATGCAGGAACTTCCACATGTTCAAATTTAGTTTGTGTTTAAATAATATTTTAGGTGTGACCTTTAAAGAATGCAGAAAATATCTTTAAGCGTATATTATATATAATTTATATTATATATTAAATAAGGATTCTTTCCATTGCATTTACTATGTAATTGTTGAATATATGACCAATTTGAATAAGTGAGTTAAACAAGCAAACGTTTTGGAAGTCAGTTAAGCAAAAGGACACAGCATGGGGGCAAGGATCAAGACAAAAATCTTTATAAAAGAATTAAATTTTTTATTTGACCTTAAGCCCCAAGTCAAGCATCAATGAACAATTGAACGATGGAGCATGAAAATAAAACAACATTATATATAAGTTGAAGAGTTCTTAAACCTTATACTTGAGAAGAATTTATAAATATAATAAAATAAAATTGAGAAGAAATTTTAGAATTATTAATATTGATTTTTAAACTGCATACTAACCGCAACCACAAAGCTTTCTAGTTGCTATTCAACTCCCTATTGAAATTTATTAAGACAAAATATTATTGTAAGAAAATTCGAAGCCGATTTTTGATTAAACCCAAATAACTGTGTGGAAAGTTAGTCCCGAAATAAAAGGTTTTCTCTTATCCCCAAAACCGAAGATTTCCCTATTAAAATCCATTAGATGCCAACTTCATCCCACTGAGTAAAGGTTATAGAAAAAGAAAACAAAAACTGACGTTAAAACCAAAATAACCAACAGGCACACATGAACAAACACCAAAACATGGAAAAGTTGGCCAGGAAAAGCCCTTTGCATCAAACTGCATTGAAAAGCAGCAAGTACGTGGCATGATTGCTTGTACTTGGCCTCGAGGTGCAACTAAAATAGGTTTAACGAAAAGGGGGCAACAGCGAGAGAAAATATAAACAAACAAGAAAGGAAGCTAACTTCGGCACGCCGAAGTTTATATACCCTTGCAGATAGAACTTCTATGAATAGGAATCCACACAATATAAATTAGATATATTTGTGTTAAAAAACAATGAAGTAATACCTGCTTTCATTTTATTCACCTATACATATTATATTTGCAGTTTTACATTCACAGATTTGCATTTTTTTATTTAATTGTATTAATTTCTCGATCGTTCCTATGGGAGCTATATGATATAGTAATCCGATTTTCATAAAATTTTACACAAAATTTTAGAATAATATGAAATGGCTATATTTCAAATTTGATTAAATTCTGTTGAAAACTAAAAATGTTATACTTATTAATTGAATTAATTTCTCGATCGTTCCTATGGGAGCTATATGATATAGCCGTCCGATTTTCATAAAATTTTACAAAAAATTTTAGAATAATATGAAACGGCTATATCTCAAATTTGATGAAAATCTGTTGAAAACTGAAAATGTTATACTTATTAATTGAATTAATTTCTCGATCGTTCCTATGGGAGCTATATGATATAGCCGTCCGATTTTCATAAAATTTTACACAAAATTGTAGAATAATATGAAATGGCTATATCTCAAATTTGATCAAATTCTGTTGAAAAATAAAAATTTTATAATTTTTTTGTAAAACTTTTCCGATCATTCCTATGACAGCTATATGATATAGTCGTCCGATCCG